TTTTTCATTTAATTCGAAAATGGTTTCGTAATTTTGACCATTTGTTTTGTTATAAGCTTTAGCTCTAATTTCTATGCCACCAAATGATAGGCTGAACGTAACAGGTCTCTTAGTTCCTAAATGTGCGTCGGGAAGATCAATAAGCAATGTTCCAAGCAACTTCATGCCAGGTTCATCACAATAAACGGCGTCTTGATTTTTTGTATGGTATACTTTAAATTTTAATTTTGTTTGCTCCGCGTAAACTGGATACAATGTATCCGTAAATTCCTGATTAATTGTAGCATCAGTCCCACGTTTCGCGAGAAGGAGAAATTTTTCAATCCTTCCACATGGAGTGATTCGTTCTGGTGGATCTTCGATTTCCCATTCAGGAGATATTAAGACTCCGAACGTATGAGTCAATTTACGAGTCATTATGATACGTTTTGAACTACTCAAATCCTCCAAGTTTTCTTCGTCTTTTAAACTTTTTCCATACAATGCTGCGCCATGAACAACTGCTGCAATAGGATGTGTCGGAACCGAGATGATTCCTACCTCTTGACTGAATTTGTTCTTGATTGCTTTTTGTAAATATTTGGATTGGCTAAAACCGCCAACTAGGAAGATAGCCGAACATTTTCCTGATGAATTTTTTAATTGAGTGCCAATCAAATCGATAATCCTGTTAACGATCGGATCAAACATGGATTTAATGGCGATAAAATCAATTTCAATCTCCCAATCTCTTTCTTTCATTATTTCCTCCTCTTCACCAGTAATGTATTGTTTCAATGAAGGAGCGACACTATCAAGATCTAGTTCATAAGTAAAATTCGGATCATCATCAGAGAATTGTATCTTAGCCTTTCGACAAAAATCTTGAAGCATGTATTGCATTTGACAGTAATGCTGCTTTTTAAATAACTCTACAGCTAAACTTCCAACTTCTTTTTCAAGTAGTTTGATGAATTCTTTTTCGACAAATGTACTTCCGCAAAAATCTCCTGCTCGTTCAGTGACTTCGCCTAATTGGTTCTCTCCCAATAATTTACGTGTTGTTAGATCCACAGTACCACCGCCACAGTCGACAATCATGAAAATTGCTAAATGGCAATATTAGTTAGAATAATCAAATGTAGTAGTAGTCGTACTTTATAGACTTACTTCCTGGAGCTGTAAGTTTGTGTTCCTTTAAGCAACTATCCATACAGAAGATTGCTGCGGCTTCAGCTAAAGAAAGGAAATTTTCCTCGTTAAAACAAGTGAAAATTAACGGCATAATTGGTTTAAAAACATACGTTCAGTTGTCAATTGTAACTTTTCCGAAGATCTTTTTTCAATCAATCCAGCTTCAAATAAACATTCTCTCATAATGGCTTTATCCTTTTCTGAATATTCGGCTGGTACAGTAAGGACCAAAAGAACATTTGTCATGAAATCAATTCCAGACCAATTATTACTAACAGTTTCTTTAATCAACTTAAATTGATTGTACAAATAAAGAATTTCAAAATCATTTAATAAAATGTGGAAAATTCGAATTTGAAAGTTACTAGTATTTTTATTATTTATTTATTTACCTTTCCAAATTCCTTAAGGTAATCGGTAATTGCCTTCTTGTAAGGTATGGGTAATTCCGGTTTTTTCAAGCAATTGCCTAAATGCAATTTAAATAGTTCCACAGGTTTCTTGTCACTATTTTTATTCTTCTTACTCGGCTTTTTACATAAGGCTGGATTACCCCATAATACAACGTTTTCAAAGTCATCGTCATATTGGAGTACCGTGTTCGTTTTGAATGGCCCCGTTATCCCGGGCCATAGTTCGTTTATATAGATTTCTTCATTTACATCTTCAAGATGACAATAAGCAAAACCCTGTCGATAAAATAAAAGAAAAAAAGATTTTTTTTTTTCTATTACAACCATTTGGACATACGTAAATGCATCTTTATATTATGATTACCGAATAAGTAGTTCCGAAATCTATAAATTGAGAAGAAAAAAATGAATTCAATTCACTTCAAAAAGTCAAAATTTTTTTTATATTAAATTTGTTTTTACCTATGCCAACAACAACGCGAATATCGTCTCTCCACGACATGATTGTTAATTTAATGAATTGAAAACATCCATTTATCGTATTTATATAGAAACAAATAAAATCTTAAAGTTTTTTTAAATCACATTCAGGGTTTTCGACATATCACATACCGCTTTTGAGGCTCATTGAAAATAATACGTGAGAATGTTATAAGCGCCGATCCATATTCATTTAATTAAAATATTGATGATCTCGACAAAGCCATAAACAAATCTGTACATATGACCCTATCTTAAAGACCATTAAAGACTGTTAATGGGTTATATGACGTTAATTTACAGAATTTCTTTGTGGTTGGGAATTTCTATAATTCTTTTGAAATTATTTATAATTGATATCGTAGATAAGGTATTTACTTTATTTATTTATTAATAAACGTGTCTTAAGCGTAAGATTTTTTAAAAAATAAAGTATGTCGGAAGAGTATAAGGATATTCGAGTTGTTCTCGCCATTGGTATGTTTTGGAATAATAAAACTATGATAAAGTTAATTCAATCGATTAATAAAATACTTTTCTTTTCAAACGTTATTACGAAAGACTTTGGAACGACCTACTCGGTAAGAATTTTGGCCAAAAGATTTTAAGCGAAGAAATTCGTGCAATCATTTGATTTAACAATGTTTTTCAATTAAATAATTAAATAAAGGGATATGCGTATGCACACGTTTCTAGTCCTGATAAGATTACAGTTAAAGATAATTGGGATGGAATCGATGGTCGCTTTAAAATACCGACCGTTTTAAAATATAAAGATGATTCCTATGAATCTATCGAATCGTGGGGCAATAGTGCATTAGCTCGTAAATTATCAAAAAGAGAAAAATTAAAATCCGAAAAATCAAAGGGAAAAGAAAAGGAAAAGCCTATATCTTCAAAACCTGTTGAAATGTTTAAATTACATTTGTCAAAATCTTTGAAAGATAAACCTTTTTTACCTGATAATTTGGATTATAAAAAAGTCATCACAGATTATATGAAAAAATTATGTGAATCAATTAAAGAAACTTTACCTACTACTTGGCCAGTTGTGGACTTGAACAGTAATTGGGACTTGCACAGTAATGTATCGATTGTCCTTACGGTAAGGATTACCTTTGTATTATTCAGCATAAAAAGCAACAAAATGGGGGAATCTAAACCAATTTATTATTTATTATAAAATAAAAGGTTCCGGCGGAATTTGTTGATAATGAAATTAAAATAATGCGAGAATGCGCCTTTAATGCTGGTTTGCTGGCGGAGAAATTTAGTAATAATCTTCGATTTACAACGGAACGTATGTAAAACTTATTGCTGTAATTCTCCTAAATTAAATTTGTGTTAAAAAGTAATTATTTTTTATAAATAGCCGAAGCCGCAGCTATCCATTGTTTGCATTCGATAGTAAAAGAACAAAATAATTTAAAGCCGGGAGGTTAGTAAATTTATAATTATTAACAATGACATTTTATTTATATATTATATAATATTTAATTTGTTTGCACGTTATAGATTCGTTTATGGTTGTTGACTGCGGTGGTGGCACAGTAGACATAACAACACGTGAACTATTGGAAGACAACAAACTTAGCGAAAGAACGGTTCGTGGAGGAGATTTTTGCGGATCAACCTTTGTAGACCAGAAATTCCTAGAGTTTATTGGTGAAATGACAGGACCATTCGCAATTGAACAAATGAAAGAAAATCATTATGCTCAATTACAATATATCGTACAAGAATTTTGTAGATATGCAAAATTTAAATTTACGGGAGAAGAATCTGTATTTGAACCTTATGAGCTCGATTTGGATGAAATACCAGTAATAAAGCAATATATAAAAGGAGAAGAAGAAGAAACATTAGAAAGTTTGGAATGGTTTTTTGAAATTGGTTTTGAAGATATTAAAGGGATGTTTGATCCAGTTATAGAAAGAATTATAAACTTGATTAAAGGACAATTGGATCAAATTGAAAACGTTTGCTCGGCTATGTTCCTAGTTGGAGGATTTAGTGAATCTAAATATTTACAAACTAGGATTAAAAAAGAGTTTTATGAGGTATTTCCAAGCATTTCGGTTCCAACTCTTCCTATTACAGCAGTTTTAAAAGGAGGTTAGTATATTTTTTTTATTATTATTTTCTGATTAAAATTCTTTATATTAAATTATATACGTTCTTTTAATGATTAGCTGTCTTATACGGACTTAACGAAAGTACAGTGGCAACTCGTAAATTACCGCAAACATATGGTATTTTGATAAACTCTTAATAAATTTGATGGTTCAAACTTTCGTTCACTTTTTATTTTAATTTTAATTTTGTAGGCACTGATATAGTACGAAAATGGCAACCAAGTGATCCGTTTTCACCAAATGGATATGTCTTAGCTTTCGAAACACTTAAAAAACTTGGTGATTCAGTACCTGAAAATTACAAGATTATTAAACATTTTCAACCTTTTTCATTATTACAACGAAAGATAAGTTTTAATATGTATGCCACAAAAAAAGAGAACGCAAAATACTGTAATGATAATGGAGTAACCTTGCTTCGTGAATGGGAGATTGAATTGCCGGAAAATGAAAATCTTGATGATGTAACAATAGTATTTACTTTAACCTTTGGCGTTGAAATTACAGCTACAGCCGTTAATCAAAATACTGATGAAAAATTTAAAATTAAATTTGATTATGAATAAATATCATAAATATCCATGTATTTTTAGTATATATATACATATATATTTTTACTTTTATATAAATAAATAAATCTCTAATTTTATATCCTATGACATCATGTGTAGTTATGCATCATAATCATTATTTGTTACCCACATAAAAGCCACAGTATTGGTCAATCGAGCTGTCACGAGGGTTAGAGGTCAGGCTGTTTGACGCAAAACTAAATTCAAATATAATTCTGAAACTTACTAAACCATTTGTACGTCAGAAACTAACTATTATGGTAAATTGGTTATTTAATTTGGTATTCTTCAAAGTATTCTATTTCTTATAAGTCAATATTGCTAATTCTTATAATCATGATTATAAATGATGTTGAGGTAAAAAAAAGTTACTAATTAGATTAGTGATGGCATTTTTTAATTTTAAATATTTTGGACAAGGTTTTGGACATATCACAATTTTCCAATTGTCTAACACTAAATTAGATCTTGATGTATAATACCTTTTACATGTATTGTATAATTGAGGTTAAACTCTTAAATAAGTTTATAATTATATCTTTGTTACTAAAACTAAATTTTGTTACTAACTTGTTGACTATTTAAAATGAATTAATTGATATTTTATTATACATAAAATTTTAAAATCCTTTGTTAAAAAATTTAAACTATTGGTATTGTAATTACTACATTATAATTAAATACCAATCTATTAAAATACCTTTTATAAAAAATTGATGAATTAGCCTATTATTAGCAATCATTAAAATTTGTAATATTAACCGTTTTGCAAATTTTTCTAAATAAAGTAGCAAATATATGGGAGCTTATCAATATAAAAGGAGGAAATCTATAAAAATTAAAATTTTATTTCATATGCTAAATATGATTTTTTTAGTAAAATAAGTCAAGATTTAATTTTAACTCATAAAAACATTTTTTTTAGATTCCCCCTCTTTTTATTGACAAGCTCCTATATTTAGATTCAAAATTATAGTTTATTATTTTCTTTTTTATAATTATAATTAAAACTTCAAATAGATCAGATCAATCCAAATTTTTCAATTTAATTTAATTGGAATTATAAAAATTAATCTGAAAAAAATATAAAAAATAAAACTTTTTAATTTAATCTGAAATTTAAAATTTAAGTTTAATTGAGCTATCTTTTATTAGAAAAAAATACTAATAAAAATAGTTAGAAATAACTTTTATTTTTTCTAAAAAAGTTATATCAAAACTACTAGAAATGACTTTTATTATAAAAAATAATATAAAAATTACATCCGAATTATGAAATTTAACTTTTATTATAAAAAATAATAATAAAAATTACATCTAAATCAGCATAGACAATTTTTTATTATAAAAAATAATTCAAATTTTGAGATTAATTCAAAAATTTTTATTTCAAATTTGATTAATTAATTCATTTAGAACTTTAATTATAATTAAATACAAATATAATCTAGTCAAATGTTATTAAATAGAAATCTAATAGAATCTAATCTAATGATCTAAATTTAATCATTAAACCCCTATTTTTTATTTTTTACAATTAGATAATCTCAATTGATATCAAAAAATAGTAGCAGAAAAGATTACTAGTATATAATCAGAATATTTAAATAAGATATAATAGAATAAATTATTCAATATTAATTAAAATATCTAATAATTTACTATTTTTAACTATTAATATACTAATTGATAACTTTTAATATAATTTTATCAACTGATTAGTATAAAATTAAATTATTCTTCTATAATGATTACATATTTTTTTAATATAACTTTAATCAAAATTACAAAAAATTTATTATTTTTATTTATTTCATTAAAAAAATATGCTAAATTATAATAAAATTTTATAATACAAATATAAATAAATATGAATTATAAGTTTTTATCACTATCATTATCATATTCAGCTAATATAATACTTCTATTTCTTTTTCAATTTACTATCACTAGTCAAAGTCATACTAATCTATGCTATTATTTTTTAACGTATTAAATATTAGCTGAAATATAATCTAATTTCTGCCAAAATAATTAATATTTTAGTTATAATCAATACAACTGCTACTTGATAAAAAATTATTATTTAACAATTGATAGTTAATTGATATCACTAAATTTATCACATTTTTAAAATACCAAAAGGTAGCTAAAATATAATCTAATTTCTGCTAATTATTACCAAAAAAATCAGCATTTTGAATAAATAGAAAATTAGCTATCAATTATCATATTAAAATTGGTTAAAATTTAATATAAATTAGCTTAAAATCAGTTAACAATCAACTTAAAAATAGCCAAAAATCAATTAAGCAATTATTTATAAAATCAAAACTAATATAACTCATTTTTATTTTTTATTTATAATTTTATTTTATTATTACATAATAAATTACTCAAAAAAAATATATATTGCATTATATTTTATTCAAAAAAAAATACATTTAATTTTTTAAAGGTATGAAAAAATAAAGAACAGTTAGAAAATTATCAAAAACCACCTCTGATTTACTTATCTTAATGTATTTCTTACTTTAAAAAAATAAATAAAAAATAAAGAAAATAGTTAAAAACTATTTTTAAAAGATTTACCTTAGTTTTAAAAAGATAATTTCTTTAAAATAAAAAATAAAGAAAATCATTCAAAAGTCATTTCTGAAAGGTTTATCTTAATTTTAAAAAAAAAAAAAAAAAAAAAAAAAAAAAAAAATTAAAAATCATCTTACTAGATTAAAATTTCGATTAATCTAAAATTTAAATATTATTTATTCATTAAAAATAATTCATCATAAATACTTCATATAAATGATTTTGCATCATTTAGGATTTAGCAATTCAATTTAATTCAATCAAATTCAAATCAAAGAATAATTTATTTGATTAAATCTAAATTAATGTTTAATTCAATTCAATCAAATTTAAATCAAATATTCAAATATTTAATTTAATTCAAATTAATAATAAGCTATCTTCAAAGCTTCAAAAGTAACCCTTACTAAGAAAACTATAATAAAAAGCACTTTTGCAGCTTTAGAAATACTTTTTTAACTAAGAAAACTATAGCAAAAAATGCTTCACAACTTCAGAAATACTTTTTTTACTAAGAAAACTATAGTAAAAACGCCCTTTTAACTTCAAAAATGTCCTTTTTACTAAAAAAAAAAAAAATATAGTAAAAAATGTCTTTGTAGCTTCAGAAATGTTATTTTACTAAGAAAACATAGTAAAAAACGCCTTCATAGCTTCAGATATGTTATTTTGTTAAGAAAATATTGTAAAAAACACTTTTGCAACTTTGAAGACATTATTTTATTAAGAAAACATAGTAAAAAATGCTTTTATAGCTTCAGAAATATTATTTTATTAAGAAACTTAGTAAAAAACACGTCTGCGAATTTAAAAATATTTTTTTACTAATAAAATAGTTACAAAGCAAAGATAGCAGTTATTACTAAGTTTATTTAGTAAAACTGAAGCTGTAATAGTGGTTATTATTAAGTTTTCTTAATAAAACCAAAGCTGCAATGACTATTATTAAAAATTTTCTTAGTAAAACTGAGACTATTGAGTTATTTTACTAAGTTTAATAATAATAATTACCTTGTTACTAAACTTACTTTGTAAAAGCTATCTTTGAAATTTTTTAATGCAATTACTAATAATTTTCTTAATTAAAACT